TTAACTTATGCCTGTAAAATGAATGAAGTAAAAAAGTTCTATCCATTTTAGCTTCCACTGCTTGCTTGCAAATTGGATACATAAAGAAACCCTCAGCTGCACAGGAGCACAGAAAAATCTAGTCAAGTTAACATGTGCCTGTGCAATGAAGCAAAAAGTCCTATCCACAGCTTTCCTTGCTTACTTGCTCAATGGAAAAGGAACCGTCCCTCAGGTTAACTTGTGCCTGTGAAATGAATGAGGTAAAAAGTCCTGTCTACAGCTTATCTTGCTTCCTGCCAAAACGGAAACAAAGAAACCTGCCTACACAGTAATAAACGAAATTCTACTGTCCAGGTAGCATACTGTACCTTTTAAAAGCAACGTAAGAAACAGAACAATGTGTGTAAATAATACTGACCTTACAAATCCAAATCACTCTGTGACGACAAGAAAAAGCAATCAGTTAATTCTTTTCTCAAGCAAACTTTCTCATCTTGTTGAATAAAATGATTTTACAATTCCTGCAAACAAGCAATCTGAATACAAACATATCAAATATAATTCATAGAAAACAATTGCACACATAGCAAATTATTTGAATGACAGGAATTATTTCAGTACTTTGCCAGCCAATTCATCTAAAAAACATAATTGGTAGTTTGAAAGTTGCAGCAAGCGACCTCCTGGTATTGGTAAAATATTCAGGACAAGATATTAGCTTGGTCCGACACTAAAATAAAGGACAGCAAGACAGAATATTATCATTTTATAAATGCCGAGATCTCAGCAATCTGCTGTACAACTAAATGTAAAAGAAATCTGTCGTCAGCTTCTTCCATTTAGTGCTTCCACAAGATTGAACTAATTTAAATGTGGGTTGTTAATGTTATATAACCCATATTGGCCAATGTCAATACTGTTGTCCATTCAAAATTTCATCATGGACTTGTAAAAAGCAAAATGCTGCTTCGCATAAAAAAATTCTTTGGCAAAGGAGGTTTAATGTTTATATTTACATCCTTGTGTACTAAATTTCAATAAAATTTATGACATAGCTACATATAATTCCATTGGTGCTCCATTGCCCGAGGATGGTGGTCAATTCATACAAGGAGTCACACTTACTCAGACTCATCTCTTCATTTTTTTTTTGCAATGACTCATGACAAACTGCCCTCTCCTAATAGTCCTCTCATAACTTGTATGAAAGGGCTAACCGGCAAAAAGATCTCAGAGGAACTGGACCATGATGCTCAGGACTGCTTTAAATGTCCCCTATAGAGTCACTACTCATCCGTCCCACATACTCGGTATCTCAGATTTCTGCTAAGTGCTGCTTCAAAAAACAGAAATGAAAATTTTTTTAATTGTCCACATAGAATCATGCAGGGGTCAGACTGTTCAGGGCCACATGTACAAGAATTGATAATTACTCTCAACTCTGCATTTTGTCTCACTGATGACGAACATGTACTGTAGGTATTTGGTTATTGATTCTAGACAATGTACATTTCATAATCCACAAAAAATAGGAACAAATTCAATAATTCAAGCAAATCTGTTTTAGTTAATGGCACCAAACTCCCTTACATTGGTCTTCCATGTCTGTACTAGCTTTGCTTTTGTACCTGAATTATTAGTAAATTCAGAGAGCATGAGATGACATTTGCTGTCTGCTGCTTATTTACGTGTTACACAAACACCCCAGGGTGAGCTAAATGACAATTGAAATGCAGTTAAGTGTTGAGAAAACCGAAAGGGTCCTTCTTACTTATATGATTCCGGACAAAGTCTTTTACGTTTCTCCAGGATCTGTTCGCAAAGGTGGTTGGCTCAGCCTTGAGTAGTACCATGATGGCAGCTTTTCCAGGCACCCTCCGACTCTGTAGGTAGCCACGAAGATGTTGGACCACAGCTGCCTTTTCTCTAGAAGTCCAAGCCCTTCTCTTTTTCTGACCCTCAGATCTCTGTTGATTAGATGCACCTAAAAGAACAATTGTGTAATACCAATACTTTTAATCAAAGTCCTCGAAAATATTTCATAGAAGCTCCCCCATCCATCAATAAAATAGAACTATTTATTGATGAACTACCAGCTATGCCATAAGGGGCTGAACATTTCTACACAACTGGAAAAAAGATGCAGCAAAGAGAACAGTGAGTGATGTCAATTGTTCTCAGTGGCTATTAAGAAAATTATTGGGCACACTGGAAAAGTAGTACAAAAAAGGAACCTGACTTGTCAATCTAAAAAGCTTGAGTGCAATGCACCTTGCCAATGCAAAGGAACAAAATGCTCAAAACCAAAAATAAAAACAAAACAACTACATCAAAATCCCAAAGGACACTTCAATTTCAAACAGAAACTGTTTATGAACCTTAGATTTACCAAATCAACTTGTTTTTTTGACTAGCATAACCTGCAACTTCAAGCAGCCCATACCATTTTGTCGACTTTGCGGGCATACTGGTGGATCTTCCGGCTGATCAGCATCAGACAGATCAGATTCAATGTCAGACTCTTCATCAGTGTTGTACTCTAAAAAGAACAGTGCTGGTACGTAATTTACCATGTCATGATAAAATACAAAAATGAGGGCATCCTTTTCATTTGGCTGGAGGTGCACCATTCTAATGATCCATATCAAAATCAAAGAAATTGTGGCCATACAGCAGCTCAACCCCCACCTAGTGATATTATTTCAATGTCCAAGTCCAGCTGTAGATGCACAGATCCTCAGCTTTCAAATTAAAATCTGCTTTTGGTGTATGCTTGTAAAATTATCAAACAGGTGGGCAAAATCATTACACATATCCAAAGTTATAGTGCACGCCTCGCTCTTTTGGAATTTCAAAAACTTAATCTGCATGGTATTTAGTAGATTCGGTATTTAGTAGATTGATCGTATACCCTCATGGATCTACCTCACTGGTAAAAGCCATTTGTGAAATAAATAAATTACAGTTGCTAAGGACATAGTTGCGTCAAAATGTTAATTTCAAAATTTTTTTCCGTAATACCTGCTGCAAAATCTGACTCAAAGCAGCAAGACAACATTGGTAGCTGAATGGTTAAGACATCTGCGCTATTAAGTAGGGGGTCGTGGGTTCCATTCCAGACCTATGTAAGCCTGTGTTTTTTTTCCGCAAGCTTTTGGGGAAATCACTGAGTAAACAGTATTCCACTAAATGTCCGGCAGGCCAAAAATAATACAACAATCAAAATACCTTCTGAGGGATTAAGTTGGATGTCCTCCAAGCTTTTTCCAGGTAGACCCCGGATGTCCCCTTTTTCCATCTTCAGTAGGACCTTTGATATTTTGGCTACTTGCAGTGTGGACTCTGGTAAGCGATAAAATTGACGGTGAGTTCGAAGATCATGGCCAAGGAAGCCGGCAAGAAGGTCAAGCTCGTTTTCTTGTAGATTCATAATCTGCGAAACGGTCGCAATATGCTTTCTTAACCTAGTAACTCTTAGGTATGCTGGCTTTTTTGCACCACACATACCCGCGTGTTCACGGACTGTGTCCGGTCCTCGGAGGTGGCCTTCCCTGGATCGAGCTGCGAACAAATACATGTTGTTCTCATCGATTCCTGCTTCAGTCCTCTTAGATATCAGCGTGTCCAAGGCGTGCTTCATGAGATCAGTGAGAAGGACAGCCACAGTTCTTGAGCGTTTTCCTACTATCTCGACCCGCCATAGAACTCGGCATAGCTGTTTCTCCCATGTTGTCAATGCCCCATCTATAATGCCAACTTCGCCATTGGTGCATTTACCATAGTCACTCAGGGTCATCTTAGCAATCTCACCCGGTCGTTTATGATTAAAAACAATGACCTGAGTTAGGACAATTTCAGCAAGCCTGATCCATGCGTTTTGGATTTCTCTTGGTTCAGATGAATTTCTCAACACCTCTTCTCTTGATCTGACTTCATCTTTCAGAAAGCGGGATAATGTGACTACGTCCTCCGTTAATGGCAGGAGCTTGGGATTGTTTCTTCTTCCTTCATGAAGAGTTTGCTAAGCATGATGACTAATCTTGTCTTCCCACTGGGTTGAATACAGTGACACGAACGCTTTACATCTCTTTTCCAGGAGATCATCACCTGTCATGAGGGCCTCCCCGCACAGAATTTCGACACTAAAGTTTTTAAACTATGGCCAATTTTCAGCGCAAGACTGGGTGTGCTGTAGATATGGGTTTCTTCACTGAATCCCGCTGCCAATCTTGTTGAACACACAACAGCTTCAAACTTCCAGGGGCATATGAGTTCTTCCAATCCAGCATTTCTTGTGCCTGTCATATTCCTATATTCTAAGACCATCCGGGCAACTTCCTGAACCCTTTGTCTGATATATCCTTCTTGGTCAGCACTGTGACCGTGCTTCATTGTTAACTTCTCAGCAAACATCTTTATCAACCGGTCAGATTTGACAAGCCGGGAAACATCATCAGTGTTCATTTTTGACAGTATTTCATGTGTCCGCTTACTAACCCCAGGTGTACACGGGAGAAGCATCCTTCCTGGCTTACAATGCAGGGTTCTTTTCCTTTTTTTGGAACATGGCTCATCTGATCCATCCTGAACTGGCTTTTGACAACATTTGTGCTTCCAGAGATCTGATTTAGCATAATAACCATAGCAATGTTGACAAGGAAGATAATCCTCCGGGCTGACATCATACGTGGGCCGATAAACCACAATAAGTGTGCCTGTTCCTTCCTGCAAAACAGATGAATTGTGTAGAAAATTGCCGTAGTTTCGCATGAGTGTGAGCTGCTTCTTCTTTTCTTGGATGTCAGTTTCATTGAGCCAAGCCCTAACCTGGGGCTCATCCTTATGCAATGGAGTCATCAAATGACGTGGAAGTTTTTTCTGTTCCTTCTGGCAAAATGGACAGTATTGTGGCTTGTCCCAGTGGCGTTTACCCTCTTCATTTGATGTTGTAAGCACTTCAATGTGCTTTGAGCTGGAGACTGAATTGCTACTGACTGGTTTATCAGCTCGCAAAGAATTTGATGCGGTAAGATTTCAAGAATCAGGAAGCCGCCAACTTGTCCCAGCTGGTATTGGCAGGATGGGGCTTGAAGGTCTTATGTCTGCTTCCCACTCATCAGATGACTCTGCGACTATTTCAGACTCCTCTGATGAAGGTACAAAGTCAGAACCATTGTCATCAGTGAAGTATTTATCTGATGATTCATCAGTGTTGTTTTTCCTTGAGCGTGAGGGCTGCACTTGCCATTCTCCAACAGCAGGCAGTAATGCTTCACAGTGTGGTGCAGGAGCAGTGCTTGAAGACTGTGGTGCAGGAGCAGCGCTTGATGAAGGTGGTGCAGAAGCAGCACTTGAAGACTGTGGTGCAGGAGCAGTGCTTG